TTGTGACAATACCCTTTCCCGGTAAGGATTAATGCCCTTTCTTGTTGCATATTTACTTCATCCAGAAAAACTTGTATAACTAAAGTAACCATCAAATGAGATGTATGTATCTTGAACCTCTAAAATCTTTATGGCCAGGGCACTTTTTATGCAGAATTTTTGCAGCAGCCACAGATTTTCCAAACATTTTGCTGCATTTTTTTAAATTTTCACATGTTTTGCCCTTTTTATCATAAAAAACCAAATACTCAAACAAAAAACAAAACTTTAGCTGAAAAATATTCTGCAATGTTGCTTAAATAAAAATATTCTCTGAGCAAAGTGTAGCCAAAGTCATATTTTCAAATACAATGATATTCAGTATTTGTATAGTATTTTTCAAATTAAGGTGCTTTATACACATTAGTAGCTTGAATTTTCAGACATCTTGAATAACCACAACTTCAGCTGAAGGCAGGAGCTGCAGGTGATCTGAACCTTCAAAAATCAGATCATAACTCACTAATTACCACAACTTTTAAGTTAGTTATAATCTTCCTTTCACAAATGGAGAACTACAATGCTATTTTTCAAATATATCTTGTCAGACTTGTAAAACTGATGTTAATTTGGTGATATAAATAATCATAGTAAATACTTGACAATCTAACAAATTACCTGATATATTTCTTATTATCACTAACTTGATCCCTACATTTTAAAAGTATATTTTCCACTTATTATTCTTCCTAAGTTTCCCAGCCAAGCCCACCACCATGGCATCTGAATAATCATTTACATATCCTATTTTTAAGGATTTAAACTTAAGTGGTATCAGTTTTTCACTCAAGCCCTCCCTTCTCCCTCCCCCCCCCCAATTTCTTTAGTACTTTCACCTGTTTATCTGTTAAAGCTGTCATTCCACAAACTACATGTTAACTCAATAGAGATGGATGTTAAGCAAGTGCAAAACTGATGACTAAACCTTATATTGGAAATGCCCAGATAGATGGCCACTGGGGATTAACAAGACTGGGGCTTTCTAGTTTGGAAAAGAGATGACTAGGGGGGAATATGATACGGGTTTATAAAACCATGCCTGGGGTAGAGAAAGTAAATAAGGAAGCGTTATTTACTCCTTCTCAAAACACAAGAACTAGGGTCACCAAATGAAATGAACAGGCAGCAGGTTTAAAACAATGAAACATCAGTATTTTTTCCGCTCAGCACACAGTCAACCTATGGAACTCTTTGCCAGAGGAGGCCAAGGCTATAACAGAATTCTAAAAAGAACTAGATAAATTAATGCAAGATAGGTCCATCAATGGCTATTAGCTAGGATGTCCGGGAATGGTATTCCAGTGCCTAATTACCACATGCTGGGAATCACTTGATTACCTGTTCTGTTTATTCCCTTTGAAACACCTGGTATTGGCCACTGTTAGAAGACAGGATACTGGTCTAGATGGACCTTTGGTCTAACTGTTTTTGTATTCTTATATACATTGTTCCCTCTCTATATTGCTCCCCCGATATAAGTCTCTTGTGCTTTGGTTACACACATTTCTGACTCTTCTGTTCTTATGCACAGATAATGTCTGACACTCCTATTGGACTGTTACCCTAAAGGTTGCCGACATACTTTTAAAATTATGCACAACTCTGGAAACATACACAACTCTGGTACTCTCTACCTGTGGCTTATTGAGTCACCCCACCAAAAAATGCCAGCCTATTTGTCTCTTTCCCACACAAATGTTTTTGTACCTTCTTCTACTTTGCCTCTTACCTATAGAATATAATCCCTGCACTGCTCCACAAAGCTACTATCTTCTCCCTCCTTAAGATGCAGTTTGTCTATGATGCCTATAGAAAACTTCCATCTGAAAATGCCCAGGTAGATAATTAATGGAGATTGTTGATACCAGTTTTGTTGTTGTTGTTCATTTTAAATGATTCAGTATAATCAAGCTATGACTGTAGTTGGTCTATGCATCCATATACCTCTATCATTATTATCCTTCTCTTTCCTCTTCCATTCCTTTTTTTAAAACACTTGTTCTGTGACCTTGTCTTAATCTAGATTCTGAGCATTGGGGATCAGAGATCATCTCTTTCTACAGGACTGTTAAGCACTATGGGGCCCTGTTCCTAACCAGGGTCTTAGGTACTACAAATACAAATACTAAACGGCAATAATGCAGTCATTTTCCAGTGGAATGTTACAACAATTTAACAGAGCAAAGCAGCAAAAGAAAACAATTTAGTGTAAGTGGACCACCATATATATCTGAAACTACAGGGGGAATTTAGATAGGCAGAATATAAATGCCCACATTAGAATTTTCCCAGGACATCATGGCTAACGTTTTTCCAAAAAGATTCATTATGAAGACAACATAAAAAATGTCAGGAAGTGATCAGCATCTGAACTTTACATTATCTAGCAATGGTACTTGCAGCAGCAACTCCATGCCCGAGATCCATGCTAAAGTGTTAGTTCGGGACTTCTTCGGGGGGAAGAGCACCACCTGATGAATTGCAAGTACCTTTACTTCAGTTGTAAGTTTTCCTGAGAGGTCTCCTACAAGAGTGTTGACCACATCATCCAACACAGCAATTGAGTCAGCACTCTCAAACTGAACAACAACTCAGGGTTGCAGCAACTTTTGCTATATCACACAGACACTCTACACCGCCCCCCCAAGAAAAGGTTTATTTGAGAAAAGGTTTCAGGAATAATTAACAAGACTGTTATATTTCCTGGACATAACAACCAAAGGGAGACTGCACAGGTGAATTCAGGAAATCTCATTAGAATCACACAAGGGCTCTTGAACTTGTTCACTTTCAAAGAGCCATGTCATGGGGATTACGCCTTTATGTGATTTCCATGAGAAATGACTGAAAAGTTTAATGTAATTGACAAGGAATCTGGATGGACATTGGAATACATTAAAATATAATTGACTATTGTGAGCTGGGAGGTTTGTTCCAATTGATGCTGGGGAATGGCAACTCTGATGCTTCTTGAACATGAACTGATCACCTGCAGCATGTGGAAAGAATTCCTCTCCACAGGAGATACAGGATTGCACTATTAGCTAAGTGCATTGTGGGTATTTTTGCCTTCTTTTGAAATACTGGCCACACATGGCACTGTCCAGAGCAGGATAAGGGCTTACATAGATTAATGTTCCTAGGTATAAAAATATATTCAGTTGTGGTTATTATTTCTCTGTATTATAGCAGCACTCATATAAACACTGTGCAAGGAACTGTCCTCATATAAACTTGGGATGCATCTACACTGCAGAAATTGCATATCGTATTTTGATCTTATTTCCAGATAGCTTATTTCAGAATCCGCTATACTGAAATGTCCCTTACTGCTTGTGGAATGAGGTTTATGGGGATGGCAGAAGAGTGAGCCTGTTATATTTTGAAATAATGGGCTTGCTGTGTAAACGTGGGATAGCTATTGTGATATAGCTATTTCACAATACTCCAGTATCCTGAAATAGCATTGCAGTGTAGATGTAGCCTGGTAGGCCCAGGCCCTGAGTTCTCAGTCAATTGGAATCCCCCCCAGTGCCTGTTTGCTGTTGGCACTCTTCTCCAGCCCTGCATCCAGTCTCAGAGTCCAGAGGGGAAGGACATTCACTTTCCCTGCCCTCTGTATCATCACCCAGCATGTGCTGTAGAAGAAGCCCCTCTGGTGGCTCTCTGCTCCCACCTGCTAGGGCTAGCTCACCACAGCTCAGGGAGGAGAACTGACAGAACACAGCTGTCCCCAATCCTGTGCTGAGGGGCATGTGTGTGCTGATGGGTAACAGTGACCCAGGGGTATACTAGGAATGTAATGAGTGACTTGTCTGGGGTGGGGAAGGATTATATCAGGGGCCAGGAACCTTTTTTGGGTCAGGGGCCACTGACCCAGAGAAAAACCAGTTGCAGGCTGCACACTGGTGAGGGGAAAAAAGAAACAAACCCTCACTGATCCTTCCTTCTTCCCCTCCAACTTCTGGGAAACACAGGGAAAATTTGCAGAAACAGGTGGTTGAGAGTAAACAGTTCATCGAGATTCCAAGGCCTCTCTGCTAACTCCTAACTCCCTGATCTACTGCCACCTTCCTCAGGACACAGCCATGCCAAGGACCTTGTGTGACTGTGGCAGAGGGCAATCCGAGAGAACTGGGGGAGGGGACCCTTTGTTCTCTTGGGTCACCTCAGGTCGCCACTTCATTTCAAAAACACCTGCCTAATTAGCCACCGACAACTCCCCCACCCCCAGTGCGCAGGAGCGGCGCTGATTTACAACGCCGGGCGAAGCAGCAGCCAATGGGCTCCCACACCTGCTGCGGGTGCTAGTGCCAGTCACTAGCCAGAGTCTGGGCTGCGCGCCAGGGGGCGGACGCGTTTCCATGGGCTTTGCTCCACGGGGATGTTTATGGGACTGAACTTACGTAGCGTCCGAGTTCATTTGACCCAAGGAATCGCCTCTTTCGTGGCACCCCGCAGGCTAGCTGCTCCTTCCAGCCTCCACTGTGGTTTGGAAAGCCCCGCTAGGCCGGGGGAAAGCCCCTGGCTTGCAGCTCGGGAAGAAAGGAATCTGGGGACCCCAGGGAATGCTTTCTGCCAGGCTGTGCTGGCGGAGAGGAAAGAGCCCGGGGGACCCACCAGTGCTTCTGTCATAACCTCAGGGGCGTTTGTTATTGTTTTTACCAGACTGAACGGTTTCATTCCCTTTCCCTCCTCCACTTCCTCCTACTGCTGTGACTTTTACCTGTATATTATCACGCGGCAGGGCTCCAGCATATCCAAAGAGGCCATATCAGCATTAACCAATTCTTGTGAAAGCCAGAAAGTCCAACCAGCCAACAGACAGAACAAAGGAGCAACAAGGGAGATGGGGGAGGGGAGACTGGGACCAAGGAAAATGGTGTGATTTGCCTTAAGCTACTTTTCTTCTAGTGTGATTTGGCGGGGGCTCGGAGGCCCCCTGTGCTTCCCCCTCCTACCTTGCAGTCTCTTATGCAGGATCTAACTGAATACTCTTCTGATTGCAAGTATTTCTCCAGCAAGAGGTCAAACTCCTCATATTTTTCCTGAGCGTGTTGGTCCAGCCTCTGATAAGCCTGGACGCAGCTGCTACACGCCTCCCCGTCCAGAGCACCGGCTGCAGCAGCCACGAAATCCACCATCAGGTTGTCCAAACTGCAATCCAAGCTATCTGGGCCGGCCATGCCCAGCAGCAGGTCCCAGATCGTGTAAGTATCACAAAAAGAGAGGTTGAAGTTCCTAAAATAAGCCTTTAAGAAGTTTATTTTGGAGGAGGAAGAGGAAAAAAAAGAGGCTGATGAAGAGGAAGAGGGGGGGAACCCATTAGCACTCTCTCCGGCAAGCGGTGTCTGCTGAGTCCAGATCGAAATGACCCCGGGCACCAGTGCAATGTGGGATCGGAGCAGCAAATTTGGTCAAATTGCTTAAAAAAATCTCACACCTCCCCTCCTGTGACTGTTGATCCCCTGTCAGTAGGAAATGTGGCTGGAAGGCGCGCTGGCTTGCGTCCCCCCAAGGCGTCTGCATGGCTAAGCTCCTATCCTTGGATCTGAGCTTGGCTCCAGCACAGAGCCACAGATGATCAGAGAGGAGGACAGTGAAAAATAGAAGGGATGCCAGAGACATTCGCCATTTCTGTGCCCTCTCGGAATCAGCGCAGGGTTTGTCGTTTTGTCTTGGTGCACAACAAATTTTTAACACAGCGTCATCTTCTCTTGGATACATCCAAGCCCCCCTGATCATATTTTAGGGGCTGAGTGGGGGGGCTACTGCGGTCTCCGGTGCGGTTCTCTTGGCTCCTCTCCACTTAGACTCCCCCCAACAATGTCACCTACCTCCTCTGAAGCATGGTGTGGTGATGGGCATCATTCTCATGGCTAGAAACAAGGAAGTGCCTTCCCCTCCTCCACCACCTCCACCTCCTTCTGGGCTGCTAAATGCTACCACCAGCCATTGCATGTTGCTGCGGGAGGAAAAATCAGCGCCACGGTCCTCAACATGTCCAGGCTGCTGTTCGCCAGTGCCAGTCCATGCAGCGAGCCCCTCAGCCCAGAGCGGAGCCAGGCAGAAGCATACTCCTTCACCCCACACTCAGCGCTTGGCCCTCCTCATCCTCATCCTGCCGGGCCGCCTCGCCTCTCTCCTGCCTGCCTCTGCTCTCCCCTGCACACACAGTCACTCTGCTTTCCTCTTTCTTTTTTGATGGGCAACGTTTTTCCCGTTCCTGATCATCCTGGACCGGTGTCTCCTGTTTTCCATCCCCCCTCAATCTGTCGCCATCTTCAGCTGTACAGAGAACACCTTGAGAAATTGAT